CGACACACCGCTGCCTACTCACCTCCGAGCAATGGACAGGCAGACCGTCTTGTCAGGGTACTGTTGACAAGCCTACACAAATGCATCAACGACCAGGAAGACAACTGGGACATTGAGGTCTATCAAATTCTCTATGGTTATAGAGCTACCCGACAAGATAGCACCCGGTTGAACCCGGCGCTATGTGTGTTCGGCAAAGAACTTACAACGGTGGCTGAACGCAGCACCGCCCTGAATCCCACACTACCGTCTGAGGACCCTAGCGGAGGTTAGCCCCGGCCAGGTGGCCAGGTTTCTGAAGGGGGGGGACGCTACAGCTGTAGCGACTTCCAGCTGGTCATAGAGAACTGAGTTTGATGGCTTTGGTTGCGTATTGTTCCGGGCATAGCAGGAGGCCGAATATTGCCATATCGTTAATTAGATTCTATAAACGCGTTGAGAACGGTCATATGCTTACGGTGCACCGCATAAAGACTGACGAATGTAGGTTTCAATCTCGCAACGTAAAAGCAGGCGGTTTGTGTCTTACGATCTAGCTTCGGTCTGAGAAATGTTCTATGACAAATATCCTGTACTAGTTTCTTCTCAGTTTCCGTTGGCCGCCATGAACCTGGCCCGGAGCTGCGTAAACTGGTAGCTACTGTTGCGTAATGAAGCAGTTGCTGCATGAAAAGGGTAGCTGCATCTTACGTTGACCATACGACAGTTGTACGAATGACGGGCGCGTTTGCCATATGTAAGGCGCGGCCTGACCAATATTTTCTGAGGGATATTCCAATCATACAACTCGTAGTGCACGGTAGCAGGACACACCGGCCAAGGCAGCTTGTAATGGGTATCGCCTTCACTTGGCGTGGATGACTCCCACCCATTTTATCTTGTCAACAGCCAACCAGGTTCCAACCTGACATTGGGCCTAGTGGCCAAGAAGCAGTAAAACTCTGCTCACATCAGGCTCACAACCACACCTGGGCCTACGGTCTCAGGACAAAACTCTGATTCTGCTTCCGCTCGTGCACACAAATCTTGATCCTATCTCGCTTAAGACAATCCACTGGTATCGATTCCTTTCTATAAACGATCCTGGGCGCCCCGGTGTGTCCATCCAGCGGTTCCCCCAAACGTGAAAATTTTTGGGCTGCCGCCGGGTGCCGCCCGCCGCGGCGTGGCGCTACAAGCAGAAGATCTACACGAGCAGATGGTTGCAGTGGGTTCGAAGATCGACGACTGCCAATTCGCCCTGGCCATCTTAGGCGGTTTGCATAAGAAGTTTCAAATGCAGCAGATGCTTTTTGCTGCCAAGCCGCCGAGCAACCTGAAGCTTTCAGAAATGAAGGCTGCTCTACTCCTGGTGGAGCGGATGCAAGGTGACAACAACACAGAGTGGGCCCAGGTCGAGGCCCTGGCGTTCAGCAACCGGAGCAATGGGGTAGGCCACCGTGGCTTCAGTGGCGACTACCGTAGTGGAGCTGGTAAGGGTCAGGGAAACGTCAACGTCGGGGCGAGTACCAGCTCTGGCGGGCCTGATGTTTCCATTAACCCTACACAACCCATAAGTGCCATAAATGTGGCGTTCTCAGGCACATCAAGTCTCAGTGCCCGCTCATCACAAGGAGGGCAATAACCGACGCAGCAAGCAGCTGGTAATGGCCCTAACCACGTCTGTATTTTTTCGGGCATTGTATAGGCGAGATATTCGGGAAAATAGGTGAAAGGTATATAGGCCAGTAAGGTGTACACATATTATACGAGACTTAAAGGCTTAGGCATAAGAGGCGCATGTGTAAGTGATGGCCTAATATACAATCATGTATGGCATAGTATTATAAGTACATTTTTACATCATAACCTGTAGCAAGGGATGTTTAGGCTATGCGGTATACAGGTATGTATACACTTGATGTTGTAAACGACATTGCCTATATAGACGCAAGTATACATGATTCCCTATAATAGGACCTGTACAGGCATCGCTTAATAGGCTTTTCTTACGAGTCACCCTTTAGATACCCAAGTCATCGCTCTATTCGATCGCACAACCTCACTACCTTCCTAATTGCATCCTTATCCTTATGACATTGCACACTTCATTATCGTGGCTCGATCCCGGGATCTCACGTGAGCATTGGTCGCGCCTTACCGGTAGTACTTAACGCTGAATGTAAAGTTGGGGTTGTTCCAGCTTTTATACTTAGAATCTAAAGGGCACTCATGAACATCAGCTGCGTTAGCCTGGCTTGTCGTCCATGCGGCAGCCTCTGGGCAAATGGCCCAACTCCATTTGAGTTTGCTGCTGGCTGCGGCCAAGAAACATGCAATGCAACCGCCATATGATCCCTAGGTGTAATCGTTTTGCATACAAGTCGACGTAGATACCTCCTGTGACCGCCGTACAGGAAGGAAATTTTCCGGTACGACAACATGTGAGGTCCAGAACCGAACACAAAAGCAGGAATCACCATTCAGAGCGTAAAACGTCGCCGTCCATGACTTATGCATATGAATTCACGTGTTCTCTTCGCGTTTTTCTCCTTCTTCGTAAGGCCAACGCGTCGACCAACGCACATCTTACACCCGTCCGGTCCAGAGCCTCTATAGCAATAATATTGACATAAACATAAAAGTCATTTATGAACATCTGCTACGTTTGTCTAGCATTGTCGTACCGGAGGTTGGGTCGGCAGCAGACCATGAACTTCTCGCCTAGGAAAATACTTAGCGCAGCCAAGAAACATAATTTAAATCTGTTAGTCATCCCATTGGTCTTAGGGTTGCCTTCAAGTCGACGTAGATGCCACCTCCTGTCACCGCCTTATCGGAATGCATTTATCAAGCAAAAGACCCGAAAAGATTATAACCTTGCAGAACTCATTTCAGTGCTTTTGGAAAAGAGGTTTAGACCTTGCCACCCCGGCAAGCCAGAAACTAGTTTCGGTCGCCAAACTTTTGGATTTTCCAAGCATACACACGCGTGATACCTAAGAATCGAGGATTAAGTTGTAATTCCGGTCAGACTTCCTAGGCTTTTATAGCTTGTTGTCGCGATAAGCGTTGTACAACGATTGGTGTGATTCCTAGTTGGGTCTTATCGTACGGACTTGATCTATTGGTACTATTTGTACCCTGAGGCAAGACTTCTCTATCAAGCTGATTGTAACAACTATTGCTCATTGGGACTTTGGAGTGTCCTTCGAGATAAGGCATAGTGTCAGCTCGCTTATCCAGCTCGTGCTTAACTGGATCTTGTGTCAGCTATTTCTGGCTATTTACGAATAGTCACAACAGATTATTAACAGTTTAATACTTGTGGAATTTCGTAGGCGTTTGCGGTGCAACTGGCGCGAATAGGAGGTCTTCCTAGCAGGTCTTAATGACGAGGGGTGCCTGACGGCGTTGCATGGACTCCATCGATGCATGTGCCTCGGCATGACGGGTGAATACAAAACGGTTCATATGCACAGACCTCATACTTTGCAGCATTTTAAGGGAGGTCAAAGTTGTTTCGCACGCAGCAGCTAGTGCAGCCAGAGGGTTGCAAAAACGGTCTAATCCCCCAATCCCGGGGGGTGGTAGTGGTCAGCCATCCCCCCATCCTGGCTGGGGTGACCGACTCCCATCTCCCATCTTAGGGGCCCGGTGCTAATCCCATCCTTTGAGACAGGTTTCCCATCCTGCCAGCCTGGGTCCCATCCCCAATCCTATGGCCAGGGTTTCCAATCCCATCCTGCAGCTGTGTTCCCCCAATCCTCATCCTGCCAGCCAGGGTCCCTTCCCAATCCCTTCGACCAGGGCCATCTCCATCCTGCAGCTGTGTTCAGATCCGAAAGCTGTCAGCCAGGGTCCCATCCCCATCCCTTGCCAGCTACAAACCTACTCCTTACGTTTACACAGGTGCTGTAATATCGGCTTTCTCTTTAGGCGTAAATCAGGGGAATGACCAGGGTTATTTTCTATTTCCGCGAGATATTTTTCTCTTGCTCTATGGCTTATTTCCTCTAGCGTCAAATTCCGCCCGGCTGTGTTCGTTCCGAAGCAGACTGAAGCGACAAACGCTCATTGAAGCGGATCTCGACTGAGGAAGAACTCGCATCACAGAGGTCTACGTATCTAATTGCACACTGGCTGCTATTGCAAATCGCGCGTCCTAAGGGGGGAAGGACTGTTATGTTCGAAGGACGGCCACAGCAACAAATTATAATGCTGTGGTTAGAATGGCAGAACGTACAAGGGTGTTCTGTCAAAATGTCCATGGCTGGGAACGTGCACCATTGGTTCAGGTTCATAGCGCAGGAGTTCAGCTGCACATTCCGGCGCCAACATTCCACGTTGGGTGCGCCAAAGCGCTACGATAAACAACCTGATAACATTACATCAAGCCAGACAGTCCAATTGGAATGCTTTTGAGTCGACTTGGACTTCTGCGCAAGAATTGCTCCTATGCACTATAATGTGCAGAGTTACGGGAAGTTGTGCCACACCAAAACAATACAGACTGCAAACTTTCTCAGAGTTGTGCATACTGGCTTGGGGAATGCGTGCGGCATGATGCGGCCAGCATCTTCGCGCCTTGCAACTTCAGCTCAGTTTGCATGAATATAACCAATAAAACATCGCAGTACTAGAGAAGCAGTTTGTATGAGGAAGTAACATGAAAGCTTAACAACTAACTCCAGGGTGGGCCTCACTTTGAGCCAGGACCCCCAAAGCGGCTTGCTGTTGATAACGTTTTGTTGGCTTAGATGCGACGGAGCGAAGCGACCGGATCGTCTAAGGCTGGTTCTGTGGTGCTGTCGTACAACTGGGTCGCAGTGGCGACTTCATTCTTGCTGCTCTCCTGGTGAAGTCATTATGCCTTCACGCAGAAGAGCATACAGCCTTGTCCAACTAGTCAGCGTGACAGGCTGTGCTTGGACCCCCAAACCGGCTTGCTGTTGATAACCTCTTGCATGTTGATACGCCTCCTGCGGACTTGTCCCCCAGTAGGGTCTGCAGATTGCATACAGATTACGTTCGGGTCTTATTCAAAGTGTCCCAAACTTCGTCTTGGAAGACGCCCACCTTCTTAAGCGCAAGCTATTAACAGCCCGACGACCGTTTGTTATCTCTTCCAGAATGGCATCCGATGGTGCCCTGGGTGTGGATGTGCATGGGCCGGACAAGGTAAGAACGGGGTTGGACTGCGTCTGACTGAAGAACTGGCACCAATGGTACACGTTTCTCACATTTACACCAAGTCGCGTTCCATGCCTGTTCTATTCCCCATGGTGTTAACCTTCTGCAGAAGCGTCAAAAGCTGGCAAAATTGACGGGGTTGGGCTTCGCCAGGGACATGGCCGAAGTCATCGTGGAAACGCTTGGGATGGACCCCATCGGGCAGTCGGCCGATGCCGGAGCAGGACTTCCTTGTGTTTGAGTTTGGTTAGCTATGGGACGCGACTTATAAGCAGAACTTCCTTGTGTTTGAGTTTGGTTAGCAATGGGACGCGACTTGCAAGCAGGACTTCCTTGTGTTTGAGTTTGGTTAGCTATGGGACGCGACTTGCAAGCAGAACTTCCTTGTGTTTGAGTTTGGTTTGCTATGGGACGCGACTTATAAGCAGAACTTCCTTGTGTTTGAGTTTGGTTAGCTATGGGAAGCGACTTGCAAGCAGGACTTCCTTGTGTTTGAGTTTGGTTAGCTATGGGACGCGACTTGCAAGCAGAACTTCCTTGTGTTTGAGTTTGTTTTGCTATGGGACGCGCCTTATATGCAGGACTTCCTTGTGTTTGAGTTTGGTTTGCTATGGGACGCGACTTGCAAGCAGGACTTCCTTGTGTTTGAGTTTGGTTTGCTATGGGACGCGACTTGCAAGCAGAACTTCCTTGTGTTTGAGTTGG